ACACACACACACACACACACACACACACACACACACAAACCTGTAGAGTGCTTACATACAAAGGTAAACTACTCTACGTAGGAAGAGAACAACAATGATCAAGGTAAACTGTCCATCTCCACAGAGTATATGTTTAAGTAGCCAGTAATCAGATAAATATGCAATATCCAAATGGCACTGAGTAAAAATGAGGCATTACTGTGAAGAAAGCACTTAGGGAGGGATTCTTGAGGACTCAACTACAAGCAGGAAGCTAAAACTATGTACTGCAAAGATAGTATAAGAGAAGGAGATTTCAGGGTGAAAAATAAAACAGAAATGTTTCCAGAGATCTTCACATGGAAGCATACCTGGAATGCCTTATAAAAAACTAATTTGTTTTAGGTAGGCAATGGTCTGGATGAAACTTATCTGAATTTTATTCCAAATGTGACAAATACTACAAAAGATAAAGAAAATGAAATGGTATGAATTTCAATCTTAAAAGATAACTGAAGAACTAATGCAGACGAAAACAATTATCTTCCTTTCCTATACTCTGAAGAACCTTGCGGCATCATAATGGGTTTATTTCTAGATTTACACTCTAAATCTAAAAATGAAGAAATGGAAGATACAATAAAAAATTACTTAAAAACTATTACCCTTAAAAATAAACTTTACTAAATGCACACTTAATTAAAACAATTCACTAAAGGATTCTGTGTTACAGACTTCAAAAGACCCACTTTCAACAGGGTGGTGGTGATGCAGGCACCTTTAATCCCAGCACTTGGGAGGTAGAGGCAGGTAAATCTCTGTGAGTTTGAGGCCAGCCTGGTCTACAAAAAAAGTTCCAAGACAGTCAGAGGTGTTATACAAAGAAACCCTGTCCTGAAAACAAACAAAAGAAAAATTCATTTCAAAATGTATTATGTAAAAAACAATTTTTGACTATTTTTAAATTTATGAAATTATAGCTGGAAGGTGATGTCACATGCCTTTAATACCAACTCGAGAGGCAGAGGTGAGCGAATCTCTGAGCTCAAGGTTGGCTTGATCTATAAAGCAAGTACCAGTACACAAAGAAACCCTGTCTCAAAAACCAAACAAAATTATAAAATTATTGCATTAAATGTAAATTAACATTTCTAAATACTTTTCATTCTGCTTATTACATCAACTGTTTTTGTAATGCTAAATTTTACATTAAATTGCTGCTTAAACTACATTTAAAGGGGCTATGGTGATGGTTCAGTCAGTAAATTGTCTGCCATATATGAGCTTAAGTAACTGAGATAGTATCTCTAATGTCACATAAAAATTCAGGCCTGCTACTTTGTGACTATATCTCCAAAGACTGGGGAGAGAGAAAGGCAAATCCCTGAAGCGCAATGGCTAGCCAGACTAGCCACAATGATGAACTAAAAGTTGGTTCAATGAGAAACCTGTCTCAAAACATAAAGTGGGGCTGGCATGGCAGCTCAGCAGTTAAGATGCATTTGTTACATAAGCCTGACAACTGAGTTTGATCACCAAAACCTTCAGTGGAAGGAGAGAACCTACTCTCTCTACTCTAGGGTAAGTTGACGTCATGATATGAATCATAGCTTCTGTGGGAACGAACACAAACACATATACACAAAATTATGTCTCTGCATAACACATACATACCAAATATATTCATTCTCATTCTTTCTCTGACACACATACAGAATTAACAAGTGTAATGAGTAAAACATCTGATGCTAACCTCTAACCTTCACCTACAAATACTTTCACACATAAATATGTATATTCTCACCTGAACATACACATACATCTCCACTAAATACATACTAAAAGTTACATCTAATTAAAATGATTCATCTGATTCATTAAAGCCTATAATTTCTTTAATAATTAATTTTTACTGTTATTTACTTTTGATCTAGACTTTTTAAAGTTGGTAGCATAGTAAGCGCCCCCCCAAAAAATTAATATTTATTTATTCATTTGCTTATTTGTTTGTTTGTTTGTTTACTTAGGGGGGAATAATTTCTTTGTGCAGCCCTAGCTGTCCTGGAACAGACAAAATATTTTTACTGCAGAGACCCATAAGGCAATGTAAACATGTTAGCATACTGCCATAACATTTATCTGTGACTCAGGAAAACCACAGTTTTCTAGGTTTCTTCAAGCAAAAACAAATGAAATTGTATAGTGAAACAATGCAAAACAAAATCACATGCCTCAGAATAACACACATATTTAAGCAAAATTCATAAACTTTGCAAAAATTTTCAGCAGGGAAAAAAGTATCCTTTTGAAAGACAGAAACACTAATGGCATACCGTGACGAAGGGAAGATACTGTAGAGAATTGAAAAATTTATTAGTAATCAACAAGAATTTGATGAAACTATCATTAAGAAATCTTTGAGAAATGGGGCAGTGAGATGTCATGTTAATAACACTGGCAGTTCTTCCAGAGGACCTGGGTTCTATTCCTAGTACCCACATAGCAGCTCATAAACACCTGTAAACTCCAGCTGCAGGGAATTCAATAATCTTTTCTGGATTCCATGGATAGAAGGTGCACATACATAAATGAAGGCACAACACAAATACACATAAGAAAAGAAAAATAAATTCTTTTTTAAAATTTTGAGAGCTGAGGATACAATGCTTGCCTTAGCATGCAAAAGTCAAGGATTGAATCCACAGCATTCAAACAGTTGGGGGAGGGGGGATTTTCCTCGACAAATGTATTTAACTACTCAGCTACTCAGACATAAAATTTAAAGTTGCAAATTTAAATTTATTATACTTTTGAAAGAATTTTATTTGGAAGCTATATAATTCAGCATCTAATGTCTTTGCTAAATTTAATCGTCATCATAATTATGCAATATTAAGCTAAACTCCCAAGTTTCTCTTATGCTATATAAGTAATTAAATTCTCTACTGTGCATTATGATGTGGGAAAAGGTGGGACTGTAAAAGCTGAGAAAAGCAGCTGTGATTGTTAATTTACCAACTTGAAACAAACTAGAATTACGTCAGAAGAGAGTCTTACTGAGGGATTTTCTACACTGTGTTGGCTTGTAAGCATGTCTATGGCGGACTGTCATTTACTAAGTTAACTGATGTAGAAAACACCAGCCCACTATGGGCAGCATCATTCATTCCCTGGGACACAGCTCCTAAATGGTATAGAGCAGAAAAATCTGTGGTGAGCACAAGTAAGCAAGCAAACATGAATATGTTCATTTCTCTCTGCTCTTGACTATGGATGTGATGCGGCTAGCTAAATAATGGCTCTTCCTTAATCACCCCACAATGATGAACTGTAACCTGAAAGTATAAGCTGACATATTTTCCCCTGAGCCGTTGTTTGTCAAGGTTCCTTATTATAGGAACAACAATGAAACTAGGACAAGGACTAAGAGTTAAAAGACAGTATAGTCCTAAGCTTCTGGTTTAGGCAAATCACAGAAAAAGGGTGAAGAGACTAAGTCAATTCATTGGTGTCACTTGATATAGATTGTCATATTCCAAGAGAACATAGTATTTATCAGGGAGTAAAACAGTCCTACAGTGGTGAGATAAGAGACATAATTTTTATAAAGTAGGGAAAAAAAAAAACTGGAAATGTGAGCCAGGTACTGTGGCATATGCCTTTAGTTTCAGCACCTGAGAGGCAGAGGCAGGTGGATCTACATGAGTCTGAAGTCAACCTGATCTACAGAATAAGTTCCAGGACAGACAGAGCTATTATACAGAGAAACCCTATCTCAAAAAGAAAGAAAAGAAAAGAAAAGAAAAGAGAAGAGAAGAGAAGAGAAGAGAAGAGAAGAGAAGAGAAGAGAAGAGAAGAGAAGAGAAGAGAAGAGAAGAGAAGAGAAGAGAAGAGAAAAGAAAAATGGGGGGTGGAAGAAACTAAAAATGTAAGATTTCCTTAAGAGGGTATTCAGAATTTAAAGAGAAACAATAACTTAAAATGTATAGCTGGCAGTCAGAAAGAACTACCCAAAAAAACAAAACAAACAACAACAAAACCCTTGAGATCAAACAAAGCCCAGGACTCGAAAACAAGCATTTTTTTTTCAAGTAAGAAATGAGACAACTCAGTAAAATTCAGAAAGAAAATCAAAACTATCTAATACTGGGAGGTGTATAAAAACAATTTTAGTAAAGAGCCAAGCTACAGTGGCTTAAGAACTGAGCACAAGTTTGTGGGAATAATTGTTTCAGAGTAGTCACAAAAAGGAAGGTTTGAGATAAAGTTCATGGTTTGGTCTTGTGAGTCATTTGAATATGGAAGGCAAACATTGCTAACCATTGCCAGAAAGGAGCTAGCATGAAAGCAACAATGAATAGAAAGAATAATATGTGGAATGAAATTACTGATTATTGCTAAATTCTCAACATCCTTATCTACCTTGGAAGAACAAAAATCTCAACAATTGAAATAAACACATTATATTCCTAATAAAACTCAAGAGTCTTTTTATCATAAAGGTAACCAAATCATTTCTAAACAATAGCCAAGAAGGCAAGATTTAAAATAAATAAAATGAAACAGGTACTTGGATTCATTAACACATTTCAATTTTCTCCATATATTTAACTTTCTATGTGTCAACTCTAGGCATTCCTCAGAAATGACATAAAAAGCTATCATACTAACAAAATGTTGTAATTCATCTTTAAGATTAGATTAAGGTAAAATAAAAACACATTATTAAAACTGTAATTTTAGGACAGAATGATGTTACCAACAAAAATAGGTTGCTAAAATATCTGGACTGCATAATAGTACCACCAAGTAAGTAATAGTTGGACTATTCTTTCCACCTAATACACTAAATAATCTACTGCATCAATTTACACCAATGTATGTTCAACAGATTTCATCTATATGAAATCATTCATTCATAGGATATTTAAAGTTTCCATGATCTGGTATTCTTCTGTTGTGAACACAAAAGTGAATGAACATAAAAAGAAGAAGAATGTTGCTACTGTGGCATCTGCATTCTTGCCAGGCAAGACACCCAATAAAAATATAAAAATTAGAAGTTGCCAGGAAATAAACAGTAGTAAGGATTCTCCAGAGAAGGAACACTTGAGCTGAGAGAACTGAACGAAGAATGGCCAATCACACAATAACCATCCCAGATGAGGTAGCTGATAAATGTCTTCGACATTTTAAGATAGTGCTGATATTCAGCAAGTCAACCTATATAAAAACTTAGTTACAGCTTGATATAAGCAGGTATCAGAAATCAGTGAAAATCATTACTCTATACAATGTACATTATATATAAAGCTAGTCATCAATCTTAATAACTATGTATAGGCATATTTCTAAGATTTATAATGTAAGTAACCTAAAATATTTAGCAGTGTAACACATAGGTAATATATATATATACACACATATATATATAACACCACATAGAAAATATTAATGCACAAAAGGCTTTAAAAATATCTCACAGGTAGTTAATTGTTAGTATGTATGTTACTTAATGATAATTATTTAATACATTCATATAATGTGGTTCTTTCTCTTAAAAACTAATTCTATACTGAATATATAGTAAGCATAAGGAGAGAGAATCTTACTTTTAGCAAATATGTCAACTGGTGATCCATCGGGTAGAAGCCATGGCCAACCTTTGAACTGCCAAGCAGGACCTTGCACAAAAACTGCTACAACCCGATCCCTACAAGCAGAAAAAAGGAAGTGGGAGAGCGGAGAATATCTCAAACTTGAGCTATAACTACTTCAAATCCTTAAAAAGGAGTCTCATAATTATTCACATGAAGGCTTCCCAGCAGTCTTCTTGCTGAGACAAACAATAAACCTGACATTTTAGAATGTTGGTAGGATATAAACCTTAAAGACTACAATCACTACCTAAGTCTTCTGGAGATGGTTCCAAACAATAGTTTTAGGTCACCTCTGTAATCCTTTTTTCTTACCTTGAGTAAAGAGTCTGCTTACAGACTGGAATAAGGATAAGTAGCTGATTTATTAATTGAACAAACTGGTTTAAAAGGAAGTTAGTGGAAATTCAAATACATATTAAATATTTAAATTTAATTAAAATGCTGAATTATAGTAATTTTCCAGTCATTTTGTGAAACTACATGACTTATTTTCAAATCTTCTAATCCCTTAGGAAGAAATCTGAGTATAAGAACACCTCAACTTTCCTAATTTACCAAGCTTTAGACAACTATTTTATTTACACCAAATGTTAGTTTGGTTTTTAAAGCAACTTATTTTTTTCAGCTATGCAAACTAGTTTTCCAAGAAAGAACAAATCTCTAGGTCCTCATATTTCATTATTTTGCACAATATTTAGTTAAAAAAAAAAAAGTACTGGCATAAGTAGTTTAAGCATACAAGAGTCAGGAACAAAATAACGATGGTGATTTACCATTAGTAACACTGACTAAAGTATTTACTAGTGACAATGTTGTTTAAACACATTATAAATTAATCATGTTAACACATTTCATCTTCAAAACACTCTAGTGAGGTGAACACTACTGTGCCCTATTTTCAGATGAGGAGACAAATAAATGGCTAGGTTAAAGAACAGTCCACTAAACAGAAGGCAGAGAGAGAAAAGGATGGAAAGGGAAAGAAGAAGACAGGAGAATGATTCATCTTGGGCACTGGACAGAAAAGTTCTATTTAAGGACTGCTATATCAAGAGAATAAATAATCACCTGAGTAGTACTACAGAAAAAGGCTGCCTTTTAAAAGGACTTCAGAATGCCCAGGGATCTGCATATTACACATTAACAATCACTGCTTTAGATAAAAATCTATACATCTAACAAAACAGTTAGTTACTCTTTTCAAGACCTAGAGTAAGCCAGGCATGGAATTAATGCCAATAACTAGTTTTCAGGAGCTAAAGCAAAAGGACTACTGTGAGTTCAAGCCCAAACTAGAGTGAGGCCATGCTTCAAAAGACACACACGCCCACACACATACACCCCACACACAATGACAACCAGGGAAGTCACCAAGAAAAACAGCAACTTTAAAATTCATACTCTTCTCAAAGTTTCTGAGACTGAAATTAAATCATAAACAAAAATATAGCTCCAAACTTTCAAAAGCATCTTCAAAAGTAAGCACACAAATAAATCAGATGTTAACTTCTGACATATTATAGTTGTGAGAGTAAGATACTAATAGAAATGACAGCATCATTGGCATAGATCTTCACATATGGATTAATAAATTTTTCAAGAATATTCTATAAAGTATATTTGTTTATATCATTTTCAAAATGGGAAGGCAAGATAGCTCAGCAAGTTAATGTGCTTGCTACCAAACCTGACAACCTTAGCTTGATCCAGGACACACATGGTAGAAAGAGAAAAAACCAACTCCTACAAGTTGTCCTCTGATTCCTGCAATCATACCATAGCATACTCATGGACACAAAATAAATATTTCAAAAAGAACCTTTTAGATGCAAACAAAACATTAATGCATGGAGATTGGGGAAGGGAGGGAGGCTCTTACCAGTCTTGAGGCATAAGTTTCAGGGGCTGGTCTACTACTCTATAAGGTACCGTGACACTAATTGCTGTGCCCCCTGGTTGCATCTGATCTTTTCTTCTCTGTATTAGTGTTTCATTTTCTCGTTGACAACCTTGTTTCTTCTTTTCATCTGATGGGACAAACCTTTGAAAAAGTACAGAAAAAGTACACAATATGATGAAACAAGGAAAATATATTTTCAAACAATTTTGAAATGTTATTATCTTAAGCTAAAATGTTTGTCTTTGTGTAAATCTAAAGAGTTGGAGTACTAGTATGGATCTTTCCTTTTTGTTTTGTTTTGATTTTGGGTTTGAAACAGGGTTTCTGTGTAGCCTTGCCTATCCTAGAACTACCCGTGTAAAGCAGGTTGGCCTCAAACTCATAGAGATCCAACCTCCTGAGTGCTGGAATTAGAGGCATGTGCCACCAACGCTGCCGGAAAGTCTTTACTTTCTATACCAAAAAGAACTAGTGTTTCATGGGTGGCCAATGTACACGTATAAATAATTTATATTCACTAATGAGCACTTAGTAGTTGTAACATTAATTTGATTTCTCAAATGCTATTGCTTTTTATTAATAGTAATTAATACATTACATTAATTATTATTAATGGTAAATCAAAAGGTCATCTGAAAGGAAGATGCTTTTGTGGCTAGATAGATTATACACTGAAAGATTCCACTTATCCCAAATTTCACAAGACACTTGAAAAAGAAAACTTCTACACTTTTATATTTCAGGAAAATTAGAAAAGTGGTATTAAACTTCTGTGTTACTCTTAAGATTCTCAAGTAGGAAAATCAGCATATACAATAGTCTGTTCTAAGAACACCTTTAATACTATCATACAGCAGTATTAATAAACTGTGTGTTTCAGTTTTCTATTGTATCCTTCCCCACAGAAGATACACTATAAAATAACCTAACGTTCTGAAGAGATACTACCATTCTAGAGCCTGGTTATGTTTTATAAGCTATACTGGTGAACATTTTAATGGTCAACTTGACTCAATTTAGAAAGGTATTAAAACACTCCTTTGGATGTATCTCTGAGGGGAATTCAGAAAGATTTAATTGAAGAAAAAAATCCACCTGGAATATAAACAACATTATTCCGAATGTAAGGACATGTGGCTGAATAAAAGGAAACTAACGTAACACGGACATGCACTTCTGTTTCCTGAATCAAATGCAGTGTGACAACCTGACTCACTCTCCTGCTGCCGGTGCTTTCTACCATGACAACGTATACCTCCAACTGGAACAAAAGGAACCAAAGCTGTTTTGGTCAAATATTCTTTCAGAGTACTGAAGAAAATAGCTAATACTTAAGCATTTATAAACACTCTAATTTTTAAGTAAATATAATCCAAACACAGGGTCCATTAGTTATGGCTTAGCCCCTCCAATGAGGTCAGGAAACAGAATCACTGCACTTGCAAAGTATGTGCTTCCCAAGGGTAGGAAGACGAAAAAGAGGCTAAGGGCTGGGCTAGTGTTAGGATTGAAATGCAGAGTCTATACTTGGGAAGGTTCCTTGAAATTTTTCATAAAATAATGCTAATCTTGTAGAAATGAAAGGTTTTAGTGCTTAATAATAACAGTACAGAACTATCTGAGATGACCTAATTTCATATTTATTTTCTATATGCTAATAATTTGCTCCTGTATAATTTTTGCTTGTTTTAATTAATCAAGCTTATATAGAAAATGTCAAATAACAACACTTTGAATAAAACATTATTTTTAAAATATTACATATGTTGGAAACATTTGTAAATCAAAATGAATTAACGAAGGTATTTAGTAAATCTGCACATGCAAACGGAAAACATTAACTATTAGAACACACACACACACACACACACACACACACACACACACACACAGAGTTGACTCTGTGCTCTTCAATTCATGCAACAGACACACAAAACAAAGTTCTTACCACCAAAACTAGGTTGGTTTCCTTTGTCTCAAGTTTATACCTAGCTGAGGTGAAATTTTTTAAATACCATATTTTTCTTTTTTGATTCTGAAAGTTATAAAGTACTTCAATAATGAAGTATAAGTAAAAGCAAATGATATTACCCAATTAATAAAAATAATTACATACCTACTTCAACCCATTTCATTAGTTTCCACACTAGCTGCTTCAGTTTTACTAACATTCAACTCATATGATTCAGAGTTTTTTTCCCCGTGTTCTAGTATTTTAATGTCTGCTTGAGTCAAGGTATTTTTTTTTTTAATTTTAAAAACAGCAGAGTTCCTCTGTTAACAATAAGAAACAGCTCTATTTCAAAATGCATTCAGTCTTTGGTCAGTTGGTAACATAAGGATAAACCTTACAACCGCTTCTGAAGTTCACTGAAAAGATTAATAATCAAAATAATTTAAAAAAAAAAACCTGTTCATCTCACTGATCAAATCTAAGGGGCGCTAAGGACTAGGATACACACTCTATTATACAAGTAAGGGAAACAAAAATAACTGCCAATTAAACTCCAATACTTTAATGATCCTGTACATAACTCAAACCCATGATCCCTCTACTGGAATTGGCTGTTTCTCCTAACAGACTATAATATTTGAAGTTATGACAAAAAAATTTCCATTTTTACCTTAAGAACAAAAAGCAGCAGAGTTTTACCTCCAGTACAGGTTCTCTTAGATTCCATTAAATGCTCTATATAGAGCCTTCAAAATAATCAGGACATAAGTTTGCAATCATTCCTCTCACAAGGTGGAATTTATTTTAATGTATTTTTGCATGTAACACTGACATAAAATTTACACACAATTAAATGTGGATAATTATACTCAAAGCATGTTCATAAAAATAAAATGTGGGAGCTGGAGAGATGGCTCAGAAGTTAAGCTCATTGGCTGCTCCTCCAGAGGTCCTGAGTTCAGTTCGCAGCAACCACATGGTGACTCATAATCATCTATAATGAGATCTGGTACATGCAGATAGATCACTTATACATAAAACAGATAATTAAATCTTTAAAATATATAATATAGATCATTAAGATGCCTTGTGCATCTTCAGTCAATTCCCATTATTCTTCCCTCAATAATGACTTTATATGCCCATTGGCACACACTGATCTAGCCATATTCATATATATATATATATATATATATATATATATATATATAAAAAGTAATATAAGGACCTAATCCTCTGCAGCTGGCATTTTCAATCAAGTATTTCTAATATTCATCCATACTGTGGAAATACGATCAGTAGTTTGCGCTTTTTTAGTGCTGAGTGATATTCTATCACTATGTTATACTGAAACTATTTGTTCCTGCTAATGGTGGATGTATAGGTCTCAGAGTTCATTCCAAGTGCTATAATAAAAACATGGCACACAAGGTGGGTTACTGGACAACTTACATCAAGATACTGACACACCTGAAGCCCCTAGAAGAAGGAACTACTTAGGGATTCAATCTGCCATCTGCATCCCATGTTCTCACAGTAAAGAAAGCAAGAGAATCCTCTGAGGTTTGAACTGCAATGGCATTAATCCTATTACTGAGGGCAGAGTTCTCATCTTAATTAGCCCCAGTCTTAGTTACTTTTCTAGTTGCTGTCACATATCAAACTTAAGGAAAAAAAAAGTTTATTATATCTCCTAGTTCAGGGGTCCAGCCAGTCCCTTATGGCTGGGAGGGCATGGCAGCAGGAGTTTGAGGTAGCTGGTCATATTGCAACTACAACCAGGAAGCACAGAGCAATGAATGCCCGTTACACTTCACTGTCTTCATTTTATCCATTGGAGGATCCCAGCCCCTGGAATAGTGCTGTCCAAAGATTCACTGGCCTCTTATCATCTCATCTAACCTATTTAGACAGCCTGCTTCCTAGGTATTCTAGATCCTGTTAAGTAGACAATATCAACCAACACATCTCCCAAAGTCCGCTCTTTTTTTATATCATGATATGATAAATTTAAATATAAGAAATTAACAGCAGGAATAATCATTCTGTCCTCATCAGTGAGGTTCTAAGATGTGGGTTAGTAGAAATAAAGCTAGCACAGAAGTTACATAGTGATTTTTTTTACATTAGTAATTTATGGACATATATTTTCATTTCTTTTTTATTTTTTATTATGTATACAGTGTTCTGTCTGTCTGTATTGCCTGCAGGCCAGAAAGAGGGCACCAGACCTCATTACATATGATTGTGAACCACCATGTGTTGCTGGGAGAGAAATGGCTCTGCGGTTAAGAGCAATGCCTACTCTTCCAAAGGTCCTGAGTTCATTTCTTTTATATACATACCTTGAAGTGGAATTTTTGAATTATAGAGTGCAGCATTTAACTTTGTAAGAAATTGCAAAGAACAGTTTTAAAGAATAGTTGCCATTTTGTATTTTTATCAAAAATTCCTGAGAACTAGATTTTTAATTTTGCCCTTTCTGAATGGTATGAAGTGCTGTGTTTACCGGATATTGTATTCTTCATTTAAATATCTAATCTTTTGATTCTGAGTCTTTTTAATGTCAGTATGTGAGAGTTCCTTATATATTGTAGACGTAAGTCTCTTGTTAGGAATGTTTAATGTGAAAGATGAGCACTGTGTCCGAGCTGTCACTGCGTCCATCATCAACTGTAGGACATATCCCACCTGCTGCACCAACATTAAAGTCACAGCACATAAGTTTACATTAGATCAATAAAATATACAATGATTTACTCAACAAAACAAAGAGTACGACCAAAGTGTTCATATTACAGTACTATTAGTTTGGCTACTCTAGATCAATTACCAACCTATCATCTTCTATTACAAGCCCCTTTTGCCTTAAGAAATACCAGTTAATGATAGCAATGGCTAGATAGAATATAGGATCTCAAAAAAAAAAAAAATAAGGCAAAATTAACCCTCTAAGGTATAACCAAAGTCTTAACAGAACAAATAATATTGTGTTAAATTCTGTGCTTCTCCTTGCCCAAAGGAGGGGCTTTAGCTTGTTTAGCTACAAAGCAGCATCTGGAGGGACAGTATATCAGTTAGATATGAGGAAAAAATTTATCCCCTAGTCTACCAAGCTTTAAATGTATTCCTAGAGATGAATTTAAGTATTTAATACTAAATTTAACTATGTTTGTTTCACTAAGAA